CCCCATCCCACCGGGTGGGGGTAGTGAGCGAGCGGCTGCGTGGTGCTCAGTTGCTGACTGAGGTTAAAACCACGACAAGACTCCAATTCACAATGAAGTTAACACAGTGTTATCTAAAAAGTTAGTACTGGTTTGGGTTGTGCTGAGTAAACATACGACTTAACGTTCACTGGTGGATTTGAGACAAGTAGTCCAATTGTAAAATCACAGGCAAAGGACAGGCATTAAAACAGATCACTTTCATTACGGAAGTGCACATATATGTGTTAGTATATGCAAACCTATGTAGTGTGGTCACAGCCTAGGTTCTCTCAGGTACTAATATCCAGCCCATGCCTACAGTGATCCCATAAGCTCAGGAAAAAATGAACGTGTTTTTCCACAGTCAAGGTGAAAAGAGTTCTCAGAGAATGTTAGCTCGCTACATTATAAAGAACTCAAACTTTTAGCACTGTGTGTTCCTGTTGACAGCCTGGTAACATAAAGCTAGAATAACAGTCATTGCTCTGTAATATAGTAATGCTAAGAACTTTAAGGTTACTGATTCAAGTGTGTTTTGGGGTGGGGAGGATAAAAGGAGGGAAGAAACACCCTAAAAGGGCTTTAGTAGAAACTAATTTCATGTGTCAGAGTTATCTGTAGAGGAACTCAGGGAACTATATTGACAAAAGTGTGGAATGTATCCATAAAAAAAATCTCCAATCCTTTCCTTTTTTTTTAACCTTCTTATTTACATCTTCCTACCAGTTAATGCATTTAAAGTATTTACTACTGTCAATGAGGATATGTATCCAATTATCCAAACCAGTTTTTTTTAAAAATAACAAACTCCTTCATTATAATCATGATGTTACAACATGTAATTAACTCATGAATATCATGATCACATCAGGTTAGTACATTGGAAATGATTCATAAAAGATCTATTGGTAGATTGGGGATACAAGTCCTTTTTCACTTAGTTAAACAAAACCATTGTCTTTCCCAACATACCTTGCCTCACTTATATTCTTACAACAGAAGAAAAAAACTAAAAAGAATGGTATTTGTTTAACTATGCAAATGAAAACTCATTTAGGACATATTTTTGTTTTGCTGATTCATGCTTTTCAGTGTCTTCCTTTCTTCTTTTCAGTCCTAAGCTGAAGAACTGCTTTTCTTAAAATTGATGTGGAGGCTATATATGTTTTGAACCTTTTCTTTTCTGTTGTGTTATTTGTAAAGAATGCGAGTTTGAGAGAGCTGGAATAATAGAGACACAAGTGTCTCTTAAAAATCTGCATCACTTTGAAATTTTGTACGTCGACTTGTCTGTAATCCTCCAAGAAGTCCTCTGTGATTAGGGAAGCATAATTTGTCTCATTTTATAGATAGGTAAACATAGAAGTGGAAGAGCTACGTAACTGTAAAAACAGACAGATGGTCCCTAATCCTTGACATGAAAAAGGAGAAAGGGGGTGGTGGTGCTGGAATTTAAAAAAAAAAAAAAAAAATAAAAATTGCTAGAAAACCTACCAGGATTACTACTGAGTTTATCCAGGGAAAAGTTTTGATGATTCATAAGTGGCTCTTGAGCTGCCAGTCTTCTCACTTTGCTTGCTGTGCATGTAGTGCTGCCCATCACCTGTTGTTAATTATAACATCCTATAAATCTAATGTTAGAAGACTAGCAGTGAGACACAGTGCCTGCACTGGCTTAATGGACACTCTAGGAAAAAAATAATTTTTCAAGAGTTTATTCCTGGATGAGCTTCTATGAACCTGGCATTGTCATGAACTGATATTTCTATTAAGAAAAACACTAGTGGATGCCTTTTAAACAAATAAGGTCCTGGCTTCATACAACCATTGTGGTTTCAAGCACCATATCAAAAAACACTATGATGGGAAGCTATCATTTAATAAATCAAAATAGCTTGCTTGGTAATAAATATTTTTCTTAGAAACCACAATATTCTCTTTGCTACAGATCATATGACTTCCCAGTTCCTGCATTTTTTGACATTACGGGAGTAACAAAGGAACGTGGGGAAATAACAGCATGGTGAAATCATTCAGTTTAGCTGTGCCTACACTGTGCTTAGAACAACTTAAAAATGTGTGATTTCAGGCATAGGTGATCAAATTCTTCCCTTTTCAGGTAGCTGCAATTTGGTTGAACTGTGCAGTGCTTACTTTCTGAGATGAGGAAAGCATTTAGTTTTGACTAAATCACTTCAATTTCATTTCTCAGCTTTATACTCTACAAAGGGGTGAGCAATATTTCCAACTCACAGTATGGGAAATAGTTTCTTGCCTATATGGGCTCTGAACATTAAAAAAACCCAACAAAATGTAAAAAAAAATGCCATGAATCATTGCTACTGACTCTGTTCTATGTTGGCTGCTGTTCAGATAACTCCCACTTATATTGGTAAACTGGCCTTTGTAGTTAGCTGTGAAAAGAAAGCCAATATTTAAGAAAAAAAAAAGGGGGAAAAAAAATAGTTCAAAGAGAGGAAACATAAGAAGATTTATATTCTGCTGTCAGTGACAGCAGTCTAAATCCAGATTGGGTCTAGACATAAGTCCTGTAAAGACGTGCACATAAATAACATCTATAAGAAATATACTGTTGCATTTACACAGATGTATTCTCACATGTAGAATAACTTGCTGACATAAAATATCAAATTGACTGGGACCTATCTATTGGCATTACCAAAGACTATAAGTTGGTCCAAAATATTTAGTGACAGACTTTGTTAAAAATATATATGCGCTTGCATGTATTTGTATATGAAATCAGACATAAGTTTCACTTGAACATAAGCAATAAATACTTCTCCTGTAAATAATACTGCTCTGTACAAAGTCCTTCAAGTTATCTAATGTCTGCTAAGAAAAGAAAGTCATTAAAAGTTTATAAAAGTCTGAAGATTCAGCTTGTTTTACTGGGATCCCTTTTACGATGCACTTCTCATGCAAAGATCAGTGTATGCTTCCATTTATTTGTTCCACAATTATCCAGTATTCCACAGCAAGAACTTTTGTGCTCCTGGGTGTGAGATTCTTTTTATAATGAAGTGCAATGTGGGTATGAATATATTTATATAGCTTCAACGACTTATTGGCTCTGCTTGCTAATAAAAATATGGTTTTGATTATCCTTAAAACTCCCAATTCAACCTACTTTGGGAAAGTTGAGCTGTATTGTTTTTTACTGTTCACATGACATACTGTGCATTTTAGCTGAGATCCAAGGTACAGTACAGTGAACTTGCATCAAAAGAGAAACTGTTGCAGCAAACCTTGATTGGAAGCTGAAATGTAACTTAAGGAATATTAATAACAGAAAGGTATTGAAAACAGAGTTCTGGTTTTAGGCAAACAATTTCTCAGTGGTTCAAAATGGTAGTTTAGGAGACAGATAGGACAAAACCTGCTGAAAGTATACAGGAAATATTATGAATCCTTGGGGGGGAAAAAAAAATCAGAGTAATGTTTGTTTAACAGGCAGGCTTTAAATGACCTCAAAGAATCATGTGCCACGTTGGTTACTGTCTTGTAACAGAATTCCATTACTTTGAAAGCAAATGTGGAGCCTGAGGCAGCTTTGTTAGATATACTAATAAGAATTTATCTATCCTCAAGCTGATCTTCCCGTGCACCTATCTCTGTATTTTTTTCTTTTCCTCTTGTCTGCAATGGTGATTATATGATAACCCACTTATAAATCCTACCTAAAGCAATTAATTCTTTACACTAACCATGTTTTTTCTGATTCAGCTGTACTGGTGTGTATTTCTAGAAGCTCTTTTTATAATTGGGGAGAAAAGAAAGCTACAAAGTAAAACTGCAGTTTCTTTAAGATTCATGTTAATATACTGCGAAATGTGTGCAATTCTATTAGGGCAATGGACAGAAAACTGACAGTATCTTGATTATTGATATACCTTGAAAGGAGAGTGATACATTAAAGCCATGTGAGGGTACAAAACTTTCTGCAAATGTTTTCTATGTACCTTAGTTCTGAAGCTAATTGCATCTCTGCATCCTTATGGGCCAGTGGCCAGCCTCAGAGAGACCTGCTTTTTTAGGAATACAATTCTGCAACTGACTGCCTTCCCATCTGCATCCTAAGTTGCATGTTCCTATAACATACTGTGACTGCATCAGGCCTGCACTGAGTGCAGTTCTGTTCTTGAGGGAAAACATGACACTATTAACCAGTGACTGGTAGGCTTTCATAAATGCAGTTTTTCATGCTGAGCAAATAATATTTATGAAATAACCTCCTGTATGGATGCCCATTCCACTAAGTAGAAACTTATCTTGACGTGTGTCTGAAAAGCAGTTGATGTCCTTAGCAAAGCCTGCCTCTCTCAGAATAATACCCTGACATTTTCTGGCTTTGTGAATGGAGAAGTTCCCTCCTCGTCTCTGGCTTGGGGCTGGTATTCTCATGTAGTGTCTAGCCTTTGTTAAGACTTTTGACAAGATAGATCCTTTTCAATGGCAATAACTTTCCCCAGGAAATGAAGCTTTGAAAGACTTGTTAATTGCATTGTTTCGGCATTAGACTTTTTCATTAATTGTGCTCTCTGTCCTCAATGACTTTAGCTCTTAATGCCAATGCAGCAAAGAATGCAGTCTCTTGACATATCCATAATGGTGGTATAGTCATCTTTTAACAGGCCGTGAATCCAGGATGTTGCATCTATCATGTCACTAGTCCCTCCGTGAAGGGAAAGGAGCTGACACTTGCAATTGCTTTCCAAATCCTATTCAGTGTGGTCATCTTAAAAAATGCGTTCTTGCTAAATTTATATTAATAAATGGGGCCTGAATCACCCTGCCTGTTACCAAAAGCATCAGTTCTCATGTCTTTCACGTCAACTGATGCTATATTATACAGTGTGATATTCTGCCCAGAAATGTTTTTATTGGCAGGGAATAGGGGGGTGGGAGGGCATCTTTTGTAATACTTTAAACAATTAAATTGTTAGGAAGAAAATTACCTCAGCTTAATAGGAGAGTACTTCACTGTACCAGTTCTGATATCCAGACTCAGCATCCAGTAATGAAGAGATCTAACAGTGCTGAGTATCAAATTTGAAGGATTCTGACAATCTGTATTTTCTCCTTTCTAGAAAGAGAAGGGAAGAAAGCATATATGTTAATATTCTTCAAAGTATGCAGGACAGTAGAGAAATATTTTTTTACTTTCCTTGAATAAATAAGGTACATAAAGTTTGTTTTATTTTCCTATTTTAATATTTTTTTTACGCAATCAAATGTTAATACATTAAATATGAAACAGCACAGGAAAATTCTGTTTAAAACTGTTGCTCAGGTTACAAAGACACCATGAAGGGCTCACATTTTGTTTTGTTTTATTTTTATGAGTAATATTGTCTGCATTCCCACATTGTGCTTGTGTGTAGCTCTATAATTCACAGTAAATTGTGAGTTATTTTCTCTTTGGACTACTTTGTATATTACAAAGGATCACTGTTTCTATTCGTACAAAGCTAACTTTTCTCTCCTCAATGGCAGTCAGTTTCAAGCTTGTTCAGAGTTTTGAACAAGCAAAAGCTGGAAAAATGAGAGAGAAAATGGAAATATTTCACTGTACAGTGTAAACTCTTTGGTTTATCACAAAATACCAGACAACAACAAATTGCATCAACCAAAGCCTAAAACCTAAGTAGATCTGCCCACCCCCCCCCCCCCCCGCCCCTATAAACAAGTAACAGTCGACAGCTCTGGAATGTGCAGTCCTCTCCCATGAAAACATTTTTCCGCTCTGCCTTTTCCAAAAATCAAAAGTTCAAAGCTAAACTACTACACATTATAAAAGAACAAATTTACCATGACACTTAAACAAAGACATGAGTCAGTGTATTCAGCTTTCTTGAGGGAGGAAGGAGTTATGTTTCTTGTTAAGGCAAGGTTTGCAGTAAAGAAATATTTTTATAGTTTTATATATCCCCTTATAATTATTTATCCACATAGATGTTCTGTTTTACTGTACAGTTAAAGTTGTAACTCGTGCCTTTTTTGTCACTGATATATTAAGGTTTACAACGGTCCTCCTCAAAGCAAAATATTAACATCCTCATTATGCAAATGAGCAAATGCAATCATGGAATTAAGACACTTAGTTCAGTATTATTTAGGATACCTGTGGCAGTCTGGGAACCTCAGCTGCTGCTCTTTACGCTGAAGAGTGCTACTTTTGTTCTGGGGAATGGCGCAAGCAAGATGAGCAGCATGTATGTTGAGGACAGAGACAAAATGAGATGGCTTTGGACTGCTGTGGGTAAAAAAACTTATCGGGAATAAAAAGCATGTGATTTTTGTGTCCTCTTAAATGTGAGGTATAGAACACAATATATTAAGCAGCTGAATTGCTCTATGTAGTTTTTAAAGCTGTCTAGGAAACTTGGAACACCATTTCCATTTATTTGGAACAAGTGGCTGACTCATTTGTCTGCCTTGGAAAACCTCTACTTCTGTTCCTGACTGAAATAAGATGGGTATTCTGAAAGTCATTCCTCTTGTACAACAGGAGAGAAACGAAGGAAGTCGCAGAGCTCCTGCTAATATTGAGCCTGGCCACCCCTGAACGTATGGCCGATTTGGAATATGTTAAAGGATGCAAACTTCTACTAGGTACTGTAGTAGCTCTAATGTGTCCATTCTTTCAAGCAGATCGATACTGCAAAGTCTTGTTCTTTGTGGATACAAATTTGGGGTAGCTAGATCAAAGGTCTGCTCTAGATTCTGACCTCTGACACTGAATGTTATATCCAGTAGGATGGAACCAAAATCAGAAAATCCTTGAGCATGGAGAAAGCTGACATCTGAAACTATATCCAACAGCCTAGGCACGCTGTCAGTATTGGGTTTTCCCTTCTTAATATGTAAAGATTTATTAGGTCATTCCCTAAGACCAGTGTTCAGCAACTGTAGAGATGATATGCTGGTAGAGGACCGGAAAATGTGACGCTGGAGCAGAGGCATCAGAAAGGGCCCGTGAAAAAGGCTGGCAGGCTTGACAGTCCACCCTGATGTGACTTTGAAGCAGAGCAAACAGGCATTCCAGCACTGGCAGGAAAGGGTGCCGACATTAATAAAGGTTGATGTGCAGAAGATCGACCCTTCTGCACAACTGGCTTACTCTGGAGCCAAGGTGTTCTACTGTGGGGCTGTTGCATTTTCCTTCTAGGCCTAGACACCCTGGAACTAACTTTCCCACCCTGTCTTAAGTGTAGTTTGGGGCTTGTGTTTTTGGCATTAACAAGGTAGCAGAGAGACTTAAAGTTGGGATACTCAACTCCCAGGTAATCAATCTCATTATGAGATACTGTTACTCTGGGAAAGTTATGTTTCTCTCTAATTTTGTCTAGAAATGCACTCCAGGAAATGAGAGATGTTTCCTTTTACAACTAATGCATGTGTTTCCACCAAAGAGCTGTAGTTTTGAATTGACATATTCTGAAAAAAAGTTTTGATCAGAAATTCCTGCTTATTTCTTTGGGAAATAATTAGAATCACTTACTAAGTATAATCACTTAGAAGTGGAAAAAAATTCCACTTCCAGGAGAGGACAGTCAGCATTTCCCACATCATTCTTCCCTCTGTGCCTATGAAAATGGTCACTTGAAATCACTGCCTACTGTTTTATAAGAACTTGGGTCTCATTCTTAACCCAGATAATCATTAGAGAAAACTGTACTTCTGGAAACTACACAGTTCAGCGTCCCTAAACAGAGAAGTTTTCCAGCCTTTACAGATTCACCCATGACAAAGCAAAACACCCGCCAAGCCTGACTGAATTTACACAGCTAAATAAATCACTTTTTAAGTGTTTAAATGTCATTTGTGAGAGTCAACAGATGAAGTGTGCTGTACATCATCTCTACAAAACCAGAAGTAGTTATATTATAAATAAACAGAGTTTGCTTGGTATTAGGGACATAGGAAATTCCATTCAAGAACAGACAAATGGCACATCTTGTCTGGTATCCTGCATCTGGCACAGGCCTGTAACAGATGCTTAAAATACTTGTCTCTCTTGGTCCCACAGTTTCCCCTGGTCCACCTACCACCAATGTTATAAATCACACAGTTTTCCTAAGCTCTGGTGAGAGTCTCTTTCCTGCTCACTTGTGTAATGTGGGAGGTGGAAGCACACACCAGGGGAATACGTATTTGCCCTGTGTGATACTTATTACAGTGGCTGGTACCGAATTTGGCTGAACTGTGGTTGACTGTTTCGGAACATATATGGTATTACTACCTGTATTGCCTATGTAGCCAAACGAAGCAGCACGTAGGTGAGGACTATGCTTGGCTCCAAAGAAAGGGGGAAGCAAACCCCTTCTCACCCTCATTTGCACATAGCCAGCAAGCGTACCTTCCACTAGCCTATTATTAATCAGCTGCCCTCTTTCTATCAAGGCACTGCCACCTAATTGCTCCCTACTATTCAACAACATATATATCCTGGTGTGGCTTTCTTAGTAACTTCTATAGTTTAATGCATGATGACTGAAAGTTAAATGAGTTTATTGTTTATCAAGCAGAGTTCACTTTTGTCCTTATTCCAGATGTTATCAAAACATGGTTCATCTACCCAGCAGGTCACATAATGCAGGTTCCCCTCTTCAGTTGCCTGGTGCTTCTAGCCATTGTCACTAGTGTGATATGCACCCAACAAAACTGACAGTGGCATTCTCCCTTACTAGAAATGTCCTTCCCACAGATCATGTCCCTTTATTTTCTACAACCTCATTCATAACCAACATCAAATTCAATGGCACAATCGGTTAAGGGCCTCTAAAACAGACAAATGAAAAATCCAAGCCTTTCCATTTGAAAAGTTAAAGTTTAAAAAACCCTTTATATTAATTACATTACACCCTCTTTGTGTTCCCCTGTAAAATGTAACAGGATTTTAAAAAGGCTAGAGAGAACTTATGACTATAGGTAACTACCACATAAGGTCCTTTTACATGTCATCTTACAGAAACAACAGAAAGAGAGGGGCAGCTACAGAAATTATGACACCTCATGTCTATCTGTGTCCTGATCTCCTTGCTACTCTCTAAACTATGACCTTTTTTGAACTGTTGCTAGTTTTTGAGTTCAGAGGAGATGACACCTAAGACAGACTTCTTGACCTGGGATTCAATAGACCCCAGCTTTTCCACAGAACTACCTTGGCTTCTTCCAAGGACAGGACAAGAGAATTAAAAATAAACAAAAATCTGCAAGATGGAAAAAGTGAAAAGCTGTAGTTACAAATTTGCTGACAAAACCATGAAGATCCACAAAATTACTAATCATAATCCAAGTTTCTCCAGTGATATTCCCTATAACCTTTTAGGTCACAAGGTATGTTAAAACATGTGCAATTAACTGTCTACATAAACAAGCTGCATGAGCTCATCCCTTTCTGCCTCAGTTTTTCTGTTTGTAAAGTTGAGGCTGTAATATTTGACTGGGGTATTGCTCTGAAGTCCAGCTTCTGACTGGAGTTGTTATTACAATAATTACTGCAGCAGATGTCAGAATCGAGTGAAAGCACTGTCATTCAACAATTAAAGCACAAACCACAGCCATCACTATCCTTGTGTTATTACAGGCACAGACCCAACAGAGCAGAAAACAAATGTTCACACTTGCTTCTAGGTGTAATCCTCTGTTAGGACAGTTAGTTAGTTGGTTTGTTTTGTTTTCTTTTTTTTCCCTCCAAGCAAAGGTTTTTCCAGTACACTTAGCTGTTTCTAGCTGTAGCTAGAAAAGATACAGCTGCATTTTTTGGCTTATATAGCTTGAGCTCAACCCTCAGCAACAGCTTAGTCTGAGCTGTTTTACAAAACTATTTTTCTGTAAACATTTTCATTCAATAGTTATCATGTGATATCTGTGCTCCCTTAAAACACACTAGTGACTGGGTGCCTTATCTTCCTATTACTAGACTGGTCAGATACTGACTTGAGCGGTGGTCTGAAAGCTGGGGACAGAGGTGAGACAGAGAGCACTTAAAGCTGGAGTCAGAGATGGAGTCCTGTGATAGACTGTCCAACAAGTTGATGCTGAGTGACAGACAGCAGCATCTCGAGTGGCAGTTGAATG